TAGTTTAGTGCATGGTGAGAGATATAGGTCTAGTTTTAATCTTTGGCAAGTTGAAACCCAATTTTTCCAGCACCATTTATTAAAGAGGCTATCTGGTAATTGCATTTTATACCTTTAATTAAAAAAAGAACTGAAACAACCAAGGCAGCCTTCAATATGTGATGGATAATACAATGTATGTATCTACACAATGTAAATGGAATATTACGTCGCAAGCAAATGAAACAAGCTATCAAGCCACAAAATGACATGGAAGAAACTTAAATTCATAGAGTGAAAGAGGCCAGTCTGAGATTACACATAATATAATTCCAACTCTATAACATTCTACAAGAGGCAGAGCTATAGGGACAGCCACAAGAACAGCTTCCAGGGGATGTCAGGGGTGGTAATAGATATGTGGGACACAGGGATTTTATATGACTGAAACTCTCCTATATGACACTACCGTAGTATATACATGCCTATACATTCCTCAAAACCACAGAACTGTACAACACAATGAACGCTAAGGTATATATGGACCTTAGTTAACAATAACATACAGATATTGGTTTATCAGCTGTAACAAACGTACAGCATCAATGTAAAATGTTAATAGTAAGGAAAAGTGAAGAAAGAATGTGTATAGAAACTCTTTACATTCTATCCAATTTTGTGTAAACCCAAAATTGCTCTAAGAAATATAACGTGCATTGATTAAAGAAAAATAAAATGTTCCTCTTCCTGTAAGCAGCCAGAGGTGACCTGTGAAAATGGTGCGATACTCTCTTGACCCAGAAAACCCCACAAAATCATGCAAATCAAGAGGCTCAAATCTTTGTGTTCACTTTAAGAACGCCCGTGAAACTGCCCAGGCCATCCAGGGTACACATATCTGAAAGGCCACCAAGTATCTGAAGGATGTCACATTAAAGAAGCAATGTGTGTCATTCAGGCATGACAATGGTGGAGTTGGTAGGTGTGCCCAGGCCAAACAGTGGGGCTGGACACAGGGCCAGTGGCCCAAAAAGAGTGCTGAATTTTTGCTGCACATGCTTAAAAATCCAGAGAGTAATGCTGAGCTTAAGGGTTTAGCTGTAGATTCTCTGGTCATTGAACATATCCAGGTAAACAAAGCACCCAAGATGCGCTGCCGGACTTACAGAGCTCATGGCCGGATTAACCCATACATGAGCTCCCCCTGCCACATTGAGATGATTCTTACTGAAAAGGAACAAATTGTTCCTAAACCAGAGGAAGAAGTTGCACAGAAGAAAAAGATATCCCAGAAGAAACTGAAGAAACAAAAACTTACGGCATGGGAATAAATTAGGCATAAAATAAATGCAAATAAAAGTAAAAACATAAATAAAAAATAAAATGAAAAAGTTTTATCTGGGCATGGTAGCACACACCTATAAGGAAAGCGGAGGAAAGAAGATCATAAGTTTGAAGGCAACCTGGGCTACATAACAAGTTCAAGTCTGGCTTGGACTACACAGTAAGATGCTGTCTCAAGGAATGCCTATATTTTAAGTAGCCACCATGGGAAGAAAAATCAGTTTCTTAGAAACATCTTGAAAATCCTTTTTTGTTTTGTTTTGGGGGGAGTGGGGTTTGAGACAGGGTGTCATTATGTACTTCAGATTGGCCTTGAATTCACTATGTAGCACAGGCTGGACTCAAACTTGCAGGGATCCTCCTGCTTCAGCCTCTGAAGTGCTCAGGTTATAGGTGTGTGCTACCACACCCAGTAAAAAATTCTTCAAACATAAACAATTAGGTCTGTAAATACTGTACCTGCAGGATGACATAACAGTGTTGAATCTATAGATTGTTTTTCATTTGTTTGTTTGTTTTGGGACAGGGTCTCTTTAGGTATGCCAGACTGGTCTTGAACTCACTACATAGTCCAGGGTGGCCTTGTACTTGCAGTGATCTTCCTGCTGCAGCCTCCTAAATGCTGGGATTATAGTCATGTGCCATTGCTCCCTGCAGAACTCATTTTCCAAAGTAAACACTGTATAAAAAATGATATACAAGAAGTCTTCAAGTGACAGAGGCTGCCTTTTAAACTATATGTAACCTTTGCATCATCATATCTAAGTAAATAAAAAATAATCTACCATACCTCTGTGCCCCACATGCTCCTTCACCCACTCAGTGGCTGCAGCGATGCTCTCTGTCTGGGTGATATCCAGGATCACTGTCTCCAGCCATTCTGACGTCTGCTTCCTCAGCTGCTCAGCCCCCTTCTCTGTCAGACATGCAGCCAGCACCCTCAAGCCTCGCATGTCCAGCTGTCTGGCCAGCAGGTTCCCGAAGCCCGAGTCACAGCCCGTGATGAACACATACTTGTCTTGGAGGTGGCTCACCACCTGCCTCTCCTGGTACCAGCACACGAGGTGGTCTAGGCCCAAGAGGACTAATGGGTAGAGTCAGATGGTGAGGGTGTGTCCTTCTCTTTCAACAGAAACACAACAGCTGTCATTTTACTCCTTTCTTTTTCTCAAGAGGACTCTGTTCACTTATACTTAGTCTGACAGTGAAGGAACCACTGTCTAGAGGAGGACTCGGGGAGGTAACTAAACATGCAATGCAGTATGACAAGGGCCAGAGCAGAAGTACAAACACAGTCTAATGAGGCTGCAAAGGAATGATGAGCCATAGGCTGGCAAAGTTGGAAATGCTTCATAGAAGCAGTGATTTGGGTTCTACTTCCTACAGGTCAGTAAGAATCCAGAAAGGAGACAGAGATGGAGGGACATTCCAGGTAGTAACAATGTACACATGAATGCAGTCAAGAGAAGCCTTAAACTTCCTGATACCTACAAGCAGCAGTTCAGTATAGGTGCAGTGCAGAACACACAGAGGAAGAGATAAGAGATGAGGTCATGAAGGGACTTGTAAGCCACAGTCAGGGATCTGGGTCTTATCCTGCAGACAGTGAGGGTGTGCTATTAGAACATACTGAACAGCAGAGGACAATGGATAGATCTATCTGTAAGTGGCAGTAAGGGATAAATTAAACAAGTGTGAACAAGGAAGGGAGATGAGTTAGGAAACCCATAGGCCAGGTGACCTCTTTTTAGAAGCAATTGGTAAATACAGACCAATCAAAAGTATGGCTAAAAGGAATGTTCATAGCCAGGTGTGTAGGTGCATGCCTACAATCCCAGTGTTGCAGGACTGAAGACACAAGAGAGACCACTGGGAAACAGAAGGATTTTATTCAAGGATTTCAGGTACACTATCTCAGCAGACTAATGTCCAAAGACAGCCTAGGACAAAGGAAAGCCTCCAGTTTTATACATATGGCCCAAGTGGGGTGGTCTTTCCAGTGGTGAGAAACTTGGGGAGGGGGGCAAACTAGATTACAGAAATGAGATAAAGCAAATGAAGGCAATTAATAACTTAGCCTTGAAAGGAAAAAAAAGAGGGCCAGGGATTTAGCTCAGTGGCACTGCGCCTGCCTTGCAAGCGCAAGGTCCTGAGTCCAATCCCCAGTACCAAAAAAAAAAAGGAGATAGAGGAATCTAGAACTAAGGAATTTTAAATGAACTTCACCTAAATATTGTCTATAGTTGTGTACCTACAAACATTTCATAACTAGAAAGATATAGTGAGGGCTGGGGATTTAGCTCAATGGTTTCAACCCCTGCTGCACAAGCGCAAGGACCCGAGTTCGATCTCCAGGACCAAGAAAAAAGAAAGATAGTGAGTTCTCGGCAGCCTGAATGACGCAGCGAAACCCTGTCTCAAAAGTGGGGGGAGGCGGTTCAAGGTCAAGGGATTTTGCTCTTTTTTTTTTTTGGTACCGGGGATCGGGACCGATCGGGACCTTGTGTTTGCAAGGCAGGCGACAACACGTCTGAGCTAAATCCCCTGCCCAAGGTGAAGGGATTTTGTGACAGGAGCGGACTCTGCTTTATTTATGTCATTGTACATGCCGGCCTGCATTCTGCTTTTCAAGATTTGGAAATTAGTCATTTAGTTTAACTCCCTTCTGAGCTAATGGAAAGGCAAAGCCCAAGGGGTTGAATTGATGCCAGGCCCAGGGTCTTTGAAATTTGGGGTTGGGGTGGCCTAAGATCACAACAAAGGTCTCACATTTCTAACACAAGGTTTAGTACACCCTATACCCAGTTACTACACCTGGGAACAAGGTGGCTGGTGAGATGTCGGGTGGCCACCTCTGTGATCCCAGAAGAATCCCTTTGTGCTTAGTGATAGCAAAAGTAGATCATCTGTGCTTTAAATGAAAGATGGGAGGCAGTTCCTCTGCTGTCTGTCTACTAACACTTTTTTTTTTTTTTAAGAGGTATCACTTTATTTCGTCCTTCACATCTTGCTAACAAGTTTGAGGACAAAACCGTGGCATATACAGAGCAGAAAATGACAAGTGGCAAAATTAAAAAGTTTATCCAGGAAAACATGTGAGTTATACCTTGTTATATCTTTATACCTTGTCACAGATTTGTTTGCCTCAGTTATTAAGCACAGCCATGTTTTGATTTAAATACCCTATTTGGCAGATTACAGCAATAGTAGTTTTTTACTATTTATACTGGCACTAATGTCTGGGCCCTAGAATTCTTACGGTGGTCCTATCAAGGTATATTACCGTTCAGTGTTTGTCCTAAATGTTGAAAATGTCTTTGCTTTATAAATGCTGTGATACAGCTATAAATTGCCAAGGTTCATGATGGATTGTTTCATTTCAGTTTTGGTATCTGTCCTCATATGACAGAAGACAATAAAGACTTGATACAGGGCAAGGACTTGCTCATAGCTTACTACGATGTGGACTATGAGAAGAACACTAAAGGTTCCAACTACTGGAGAAACAGGTAATTAGGGTCAGGTTTCCCTTTTGTAAGCAAGTTTTCCCAATGTGGTAGCAGTTCCTTTTCATTATCTTGTTACTATATATGAGTGAGGACATTGAGCTCCAAAACCTCATTTGAAGCTGTAAGGACAAATGACAAGCTGTTTCCAAATTGACTGGGTGTCTCTCATAAGTGTTCTTTTGCTTTGTGACACACTGTCTCCAAACCCTTCAATAAAATGTGCAGATTTGATGTCAAGTCACAATACCACCAATTTGGTAGTGAAGTCCAGTAGGACAGTGAAGTACACAGTAATTCTGGGTCTGTGCCCAGGGATATAAGTTCAGCATGATTCCAGAGGGTTGTGTGGACTACAGAACTTGGTCTTTACTTTCTAGTCTCTGGCTTCTTAATTTAAAAAAAAAAGCTTTACCACCCTGATAAGAGTCTTGGCACAAATATCTTGTTTCCCACAGGGTGATGATGGTGGCAAAAAAATTCCTGGATGCCGGACACAAACTCAACTTTGCAGTGGCTAGCCGCAAAACCTTCAGCCACGAGCTGTCTGATTTTGGCTTGGAGAGCAGTACTGGAGAGATTCCTGTTGTTGCTATCAGAACTGCTAAAGGAGAGAAGTTTGTCATGCAAGAGGAGTTCTCGTGAGTTGCCAGTTAGCATGGGTTCAGGATTTGAATCTCCAGAGAAATTAAAGCCTTTTATATTGCTGAGAACTATGAAAAGAACAGCTTTGGGATGTGGAGATAGGTCTTCTAGTCAGCTTGTCACTTCCTGTGTAATTACAGGTATTTAAGGACCATCATTGACCTCTACGATTTCTGAAAACTAGCAAAAGGGTGGGGCTTAGAATTCTTAGCTGATTTCACTCTGTTAGAAGTACTGAAGTAGGTAGAAGTGGTGCACACCTGTAATCTAAGGACTTGGGAGGCTGAAGCAGGAGAATCATGAGTTCTGTGTCAGCCTGGACTACATAGGGAAACCCTGTCTCAAAAAGCCACCAAAAGGGCCGGGGATTTAGCTCAGTGGTACCGCCGCCTGCCTCACAAGCACAAGGTCAAGTTTGATCCCTGGTACCCCCCCAAAAAAAGCCACCAAAAAAAGATAGTGGAAAAGATTGGACAGCTTCTTTGAGATTGATATACCTTTTTTTTTTTTTTGGTACTGGGGATTGAACTCGGGTCTTGCCCTTGCGCAGCAGGTGGGGAAACCACAGAGCTAAATCCCTGGCAGATTGATAGACTTTTAAACTTAACCCCCTCCCATGTGTACGGAACATCTTTTCTTCTTAGAGTCCCATATGGGCCTAAAGTAAACACAGAAAACTGGAAAGATATTAAGACCCGTACACAATTTTTACCTTCAGCACCTGAGACTTTGCAGATTAAGACAAGAGGAAAATCCACCTCATAAGCCAATCAATAAAAATCAGTAAAACAGGGCTGGGAATTTAGCTCAGTAGTTCTGCCGCTTGCCTCGAAAGCACAAGGACCCGAGTTCAATCCCTGGTACCAAAAAAATAATAATCAGTAAAACAAGATAGCTTAGTGGCATGGCGCCTGCCTCAAAAGCGCAAGGTCCTGAGTTCGATCCCTGGTACCAAAAAAAAACACAACAAGATACTGTAAATAGATACTGTTCTCAAGAGCAACAGGACCTGGTTCTCCTATAAAATTGAGTGAAAATGAATGTCCAGAAGACTAGTGTTCCTTCCTTCTGAACTTTCGAATCTACAAAGAACACATTGGAAGTAGAAGGAGGTGGGTTGTTTCTTGTTCAGTCAATAGTTCTGCATATTAAGAGAAAGAGGTCTACCTTTTTTTTTTCCAGCCATGGAATTGAAGCTAAAATATGCAAAAACTGCTCAGAGAAATTGCCTTTTTAATCCTCAGTGGTGGGAATGAGTCACCAAACCCAGCCCTGTCTTTTCCATGCAGGCGGGATGGCAAGGCTCTGGAGAGGTTCCTGCAGGATTACTTTGATGGCAACCTGAAGAGATACTTGAAGTCTGAGCCTATCCCTGAGAGCAATGATGGGCCTGTAAAGGTGCACTACCCACATCCTCCCTGTGCCTGTCAGCAGTTGCCTCCTCATCTCTTTATTCCAAAACTGTTGGGTCTAAACAAAGTCCTTGTTGGTGTTGGCTTTTTTTTGGTCCTCACCTCCCTGAGTCATAAACATTCACAGAGCTTATTAAATGTTTGGTAGTGGCAAGAGTATAAAACTGTAGAATTTTCTGATGGAAAAATTGGGGTGGGGTAGATTACCTTTTGGGGTAGAGCAAGCCCTGAGCAGCACTGTGTTGCTCTGAAATTATTTTAAGGAACAGTGAGGTAGCAGTAGTGTGTCCTGTGACTGGACATATTGTGACAGGTGGGAGACACAAGAATGATTTGGGGGCCCGGAGATTTAGCTCAGTGGTTCCAGTGCCTGCCTCAAGCACAAGGTCCCAAGTTCGATCCCCGGTACAAAAAAAAAAAAAAGATTTGGTTAAACCAGGTGTGTTGGCTCACTCCTGTAATCCCAGCACTTGGGAGGCTGAGGCAGGAGGGTTGCTGTGAGTTCGAGGCCAGCCTGAACTTCATAGTGAGACCCTGTCTTAAAAAAAAATGATTAGGTTAATGGGAAGTGGTTAACATCTTTAACATGGTCTGTAATGTGAGTTGGGTTTCCACGACTTATTTCGGTGAGAACATCAAATGTGAAAGGATTTGGGCCCAGAAACAAATACAGGTTGTGAAATTATTCCTCAGCTCGTCTTACAGCTAGATAACTGTCTGTGTTTTCCAGGTAGTAGTAGCAGAGAATTTTGATGAAATAGTGAATAATGAAAATAAAGATGTACTGATTGAATTTTATGCTCCTTGGTGTGGTCACTGTAAGAATCTGGAGCCCAAATACAAAGAACTAGGAGAGAAGGTAAGTCCAAACCCTGTTCTGTATCCCACAGCTTAGAAGGCTGAGGCAGGCGAATCATGGGTTTGCGGCCACCCTGGGTTATATAGTGAGACCTTGTATAGATGAATGGATGGGTGTGTCTGGGGGTATAACTCAGTGTAAAGGCCCGGGGTCAATCCCCAGTACCACATGCACACAAACACACACAAAAAATCTGAACAGGAAGTTCTTGTACATGTTCTAAATTTACTTACCCTAATTATTTTCTAAGCAATGGTAGATTTATTTCCATTGTTACCGTCTCTTGACTGCCTCTAATGTCCATGGCCTTAGGCTACCCACTTTTAACCTCCTCAGTCTAGATGATGGTTAAAAATATCTAGCAGTTTCTGAATACTGATAATGGCTTATATGAATCTGTATGTTTCTTCCATCTTTTTGTTGTTGTTGTTCCTTCATCTTAAAACACTTGACTTAGCCCTGACATTGTTTTATTCAGGCTAGGTAAACATGAACACGGCTGTATGCAGTCTTAATATATAGAAATCAATAGAGAAGAAAGCGGGAGGGCCAACGAATTGAGGCCTTGAGTTGACTGGGTGTGCCTCAGTCGCTGAGAACTTGGGATTGAAAGGTCTAACCTTTGCTGGGCTGGGGATGTAAGTCAGTGGTAGAGGTCTGGCCCAGCATGACAAAGACCCTGGTTTAATCCCCAGCACTGTGAAACAAAGGTCTCACCTTTTTCATCTTAACAGCTCAGCAAAGACCCGAACATTGTCATAGCCAAGATGGATGCCACAGCCAATGATGTGCCTTCTCCATATGAAGTCAGAGGGTAAGGAGATCAAAATACTCAAAATTAGCAAAGATGTCTAGCTGACTGAGAGGGGAAAATGTGCTTACTGTAAGCCACCAGGAAACCATTTCTTTACTAAACATGGTTTTAGGGGATCTTTATATTGAAAGTGAGGACAGAGCCCGGCCTGGTGGTGCATGCCAGTAATCCCAGCACACAGTAGGCGGAGACAGGAGGAGTGCGGCAAGTTCAGGGCCAGCCTGAGCTACATACTGAGATCCTGTCTCAAAAAAAAAAAAAATTGACAGAATCACCAATCCTTTCTTGGCTGTTCAGAGACCCCACTGCAAAATATTTTGTGAGCTCTCAGATTCTGGGTTTTGTTGGCGTAAAATTTAGCCACTGATGGAGAATGGAATCTGTAATATAGAAAAGTATTCCCAGAAACAGTTCTCATATGTCACAGCTACTCTGGAAGTTGAAATTAGTAAACCTTTCTTTTTTTCTTTTCCCAGTTTTCCCACCATCTATTTCTCTCCAGCCAATCAGAAGCAAAGTCCAAAGAAGTATGAAGTAAGTGTATTGGGCCATTAGCCCACAAATATGCACACGTGCACATACATACCCACTTCTTGAATTGGGTCTGTGTAACTGGGAATTCTTATGGTAAATATATGTAGTTGCTAATTGCTTTTACAAAAAGCCCAGAGTTATTTAAAAAGTTAAATTTTCAAGTTGGGTTGGTGGTGCATGCTGCGATCGAGTTACTGGAGAGGCTGAGGCAGGAAGATCCAAGTTTAAGGACAGCCTGGGGAACGTAACAAGGTCCTGACTCAAAAAGAGCTGTGGTGGAGCACTTGCCAAGCTTGCAAGAGGCCCTGGGATCTATCCACAGCCCACCAGGAAATAAATTTTCAGAGTCATCTTTTTGTTTTTAGGGTGGCCGTGAATTAAGTGATTTTATTAGCTATCTACAACGAGAAGCTACAAATCCCCCTATAATTCAAGAAGAAAAACCCAAGAAGAAGAAGAAAGCACAGGAGGATCTCTAAAGCAACAGCCAAATGTACCACTTGTGAACGGACTCTTCTACCAGAGATGGGAAGCCCTTGGAGGGTACTGGGACCCATGAAGAATCATTACCTCAGCCGAGGACAGAACGGATATAACCCGAATCCTGTTAGATTTTCTCAAAACTGTTTCTTAGCTGCACTGTTACCAGGACCAGTTTATGTTTGTGGTTTTGGGAAAATTATTTGTGTCATGGGGGTGGGGGGAATTGAGTTGGGTTTTGTTTTGGTTTTTTGTTTGCTTTTGTACATTTGGAACAGTGACAATAAATAAGCCCCCTTTAAACTGTCTTTTCTATGGAATGGAAAACCCAAAGTTTCCCTAGACTATCATTAAACCCAGTAGAACCTTGTGCAGTGAAGGGAATGTCAGTAATACATGTAGCTCTGGAGCATCTAAAATATGGCTAGGGACTGCCTTTTAATTTGCATTTTAAAAGCCACCTGGTCCAGCAGTCTGAGAGGCTAAGACAGGAAGACTGCAAGTTGGATCCCAGCCAGGGCAACTTAGGGACTTAGCAAGACCCTGTCTCAAAAAAAAATGGTGCAGGGGGCCAGGGATTCAGCTCAATGGCACCGCACCTGCCTTGTAAGGGTTAGTTTGTGAGTTTGATCTCTGGTACCAAACAACGAATCAAGAAAATAGTGCATAGCATGGGATGGCTGGGGATATAGTTTAGTGCAAAGGCCCTGGGGGCTGACCCCCAGTACTACCAAAAAAGGGGGGAAAGCTACATAATAGCTACTGTACTGTCCCATAGATACAGCTATAGAGTGACAGGGTCCATAGTTGTTATGACCTCTAAGTCTTTCTGAAATTCTCATCCCTTTGTATCCTTACACACGTATTGCCCAGGCTTCTAGGCTGGTGGCTAGAACAGGCGAGGGCCTCTCCTTTGGGGCTGCTTCTAACCCTGTCCATGCCCTGAGGATGGTCGCTGCTTATCCTTGCCAGCAGCTAAGCTTTCTGCATATTCACACCTCCAGAGGACTGCTCTCTGTCCAGAAATGCCCTGCAAGGTGCGGCATCAGTTTGGGTTCCATCCAAATTGTTTAAGGAATTGCTAATAGGTTTGGTGCACCCCTCTCTCCCAAAGCCCAGGCTGTTGCCCATTCCCTCTACTGGGTGTGAGTGAAACACCTACTTTCTTCAAGTGTAAGGAACAAAAAAGGACTGGAATGATCCCCTTTTGTCCAAATGAACTAAACCATTTACTCTATAAATCCAAGTCCTGCCCACAGTTCTCAGCCGTGGGATACTTCCAGCTAGCCCTAATTTTAGGTGATTGTATAAATCCCTAGGTTCAGAAAAGGCAAACTTTCTTCCTGTTGTAATCTCTAATCATCAATTATAAAATAATGAACTACAGCCAGCCAGGCATGGTGGAACACCTTTAATCCCAGCACTCACTCAGGGAGGCTGAGGCAAGAGGATTGCAAGTTTGAACACAGCCTGGCAATTTAGCAAGACCCTGTCTCAAAAAAGCAGGGGATGCAGCTCAGTGCAAAAGCCTTGGGTAAAGCTCACAGTACCCCTCCACAAAACCTAATGGGATCGTGTCTAATGGTTTTGAAAAGTAAGGTGAACCACACACTTGTAACATGCTAGTAACCCCACCACTCAGGCTGAGGTAGGGTTGCAAATTCAAGGCCAGCCTGGGCGACATACTGAGAACGAGTCAAAAGGTAAACATAGGGGCTGGGGAGTTAGCTCAGTGTTAGACCTCTTGCCTAGCACGCGTGAGGCCTTGGATCCCATCATTACTATGCAAAAAAAAAAAACCACCATAATTTTGAAGACTTAATTCATAACATCTAGCTAGGGGCTGAGGATCTCATTTTTTCCAGAGCTCCAGAAATAATGCACATGTATAGCTCCCAGGGTTAAGAACTAATGCCTTGGAGGATTTAAGGAAAACACACTGTGAAAAAAAAAGACACAAAAGCAGTTTTGCTTAGCTATGTTTGTAGAAGAATCCAACTCTCAGTACAGTACATGGGTAACACCCAAGCCTTCCGCACTGTACCCAGGTACGCTGCACGCTCCCTTCTTAGACTCACTGTAGTCCAGGCAGGCCTTGAATTTGCAGTCATCCTGCCTCAGCCTCCCAAGTACTCAGATTACAGGCCTGTGCCACCATTCTGGGTTTACAAGTTCCTTTTAACAAAAGCTCTCATTTTTTTTTGCTTTGGAGCCTCTAGGCTAAATTCGCCTAGTTCATCTGATACCCTCAAGGTATTTTGTCCCAGAAATGATGTCATTTCCCAGGATTTGAAAACGACTTGGCTGAACTAATGGTGAAAAAGCCGAGTCTGCTACTGTCCCTCCTCTCTGGGGCACAGCTGAGGACCCTTGGCCCTGTGCCCATACTAGAAAATTAAAATACAGCACCAATAAATATCACACCTCGGGAACCTAGAGCAGCTCTCTACTTGCCACCGTGGACTCGAGTGGTCAGCATAAGAACAGCAGACAGTTGCACTCTCATTTATAGCTGTTGTGTTCCTGTCTCACTGGATAGAGTGCCAAGAGGCTTGACGGCTTCAGCTGCCCCAGTTCTTTCCCTCGGACTCCAGGATGAGACCTTTTATGTGGGACAGTTTCTGATGCAGGTACTCACAGCGGTGCTTCTCTTCCTTGTAACCTGGGTACCGCTGCAGGAAAAAAAAAAAAGCATTTATATCAAAATACAAACACTTGAGGGCCAGGGGTCTGGCTCAGTGGCTCCACCACCTGGCTTGCAAGCAAGCACAGGGGCCTAAGTTCCATCCCGGGTACCAAAAAAAAAAAAAAGCGAACACTTGATTTCTACCTTGTTTCCATTCTCGGAACCTATGTTACCTTTCTGAACTTTTTGTACTCCTGGACTATCTTATCTTCCAGCACCTGAAACAAAAAATAACTACATTAAGTTCAGTGAGAAATAAAGAGAAGCAATTCCCGCTCTCCTTCTACCTAATGATACTAATTTTTCTGCCAGAGTGAGTTTTCTTGTCACTGAACAAACACAGGCTTCTGGGTAGTCAGCAGGGTAATGGCCAGGGAGGCTGACAGCTAGCCTGGGTCAAGCCCTACCTTGTGTTCCGGAGTTCCTGGCTGAGTTCTCTTGATCTCTGCTCCCAGCTCTATGAACCTTTGGCTGGCAGCCCCAACCCGGGCATGGAGGATGCGGTACTGGGCATAATCCGCCTCGAAGTCTTGCTCATAGGCCCGCTGCTGCTCTGTACTGTGGATGGTCCTGTATTGCCTGCAGGGAGACTTGTCACTTTCAGTTTCACTGCCCCCAAAGCTTCAGGCTTCCCATAAATTTGTATTTACAAGGCTTGATGAAACTGGAAATGCAGAGAACTCACAGGAGGTAATCTGGCACCTCTTCAGGGCTGGAGGATCCAGACCCTAAAGGAAGCAGAACGTAATGTGATTGTACGTCTTCCACAGAGGCATTCTCAGCCTCCCCTCATTAACTCACCTGCTTGAGCCGAAGGACTGTGCTCCAGCCTGAGGTCTACTTCTTCATCTTTATCTTCTTGCTCCCAGTCTTCCTGTAAATTCTGACTAGACAGCCCTTGGAGGGGACTTGGAGCTGGAGACAGAACTCTGAGCCTCTTTTCTTCTAGTTTTTCAGTGTCTTCTGGTGCTGGACGTTTCTACTGAGGAAAATATCTGTGTAAGATAAATAGCAAGCCAGGGAGGCTGGCGATTTAGTTCAGTGGCACCACACCTGCCTTCCATGCGCAAGGTCCTGAGTTCAATCCCCAGTACCAAAAACAAAAAAAGAAAAGAAAATAGCAAGCCAGGGGCTTCCTATTCTGTCCTCTACAAACTTCCTGACATATACGAAATCAACTCCCAAATTTTAGCCTGACTGTGCTCCCTGCATCACATCTGACCTTCTCCAGACGCTTCCGGCTGGCAGAGGCAGGCAGTGCCTGGTCAGGCTCTCTATTTGGAAGATGGTGCTGCTTCCTGGGATATTTGAAAAAGGAATGGGGTTGGAGGTCAGGGCAGGAAGTAGGCCTCAGGTAGATCACTCACAGAACTTAGGGTGGAGATTAGAAAAGGGCTTCCTAGTGCCTGCCTTGCAAGCGCAAGGTCATGAGTTCGATCCCTGGTACCACCCCCCCCAAAAAAGAAAAGGGCTTCCCAGATTGTGCCCACCCAGTCCCCAGTACCTCACTTCCCACTCTGCTGACTGCTCCCTCCAGGGTCCTGGGAGTGACTGTCCTTGGTTGCTTGCCAGGGGATCTGACGCCTGGCAAGGAAAATGGCAGGAGCACTTGGCTCCCTGAGCTTCAGGCTTTGCCCCACCTTACCAACTCGCTGCAGTTTCTGGGCTCACCTCTTCCAGTCCTGTCTGTGGCTGTGGCAGTGACACCAGCACATCTCCTTCAGAATAGTCTCCCCTGTTCTGCCAAGCCTCGGGGTCCCTGGCATCTTCAGTCACGTTGTGTCCCTGAACTGAGGACGGGGCTGGGATGGAATCCATGGCTGCCCAAATAGTGAGGCGCTCCCTGAGTGGCCCCAGGCAGTGGAGGCGATCAGCCTCAGATCTGGAGGAAAGTGGAAAACCCCAGGAGGGTGGAGAGCTTTACAGCACCTCTTCACAGTCCGCTTTTCCACCAACCCTATCTTCCCTGCCGCCTGTCCCTTACCTGTCTAAGCGCTGGCACACGAGGTCCAGCTCACCGCCAGTCCCCTCCCGGCCACACTGGGACACTATGAAGGAGAAGAGGGAGGACCACCCGGGGCCTGCGAGCCTCAGGTACTAGGGTGGAAGCACACGGACGCCCGCGGAGTCAGGCCGACCGAGGGGCTCCCCCGGGGCTCGTTAGCGCCAGGTGCAGCTGGCCGGGTCCCCGGGGCCCAGAAGCCCGGCCCTCCCCACAGCCTCCCAGGACGCCGCGCCGCGCCGCGCCCGCTCGGTTCCGCTCTGGGAACTTGCTCGGCCCGGCCCGCCCGCCGCTTCCCGAGCCGGGTCGTTCGGACCGGCACTCACCCCTCGGGGGCCCTGGAAAGCGATCACGGGCCGCACCTGCGGGAGACAGAGGCGAGCTGGGCGGGTTCCTGGGTGCACGGGAGCCGGCCGAGCCCCTCTAGCGCCGAGGCGGGGCCGCGGGGCGGCGGGGGCTGCGGGGCGGCGGTGGGGGCTGC